AGATTTTGGTAATCTTAGTGGTTTGACTGTTGGACTGCAACCCTGGAGACCGGGGTCAGTCCCCCACTCTGCCCTGAAACCCACTGGGTGACCTGGGGCAAGTCACATGTTCTCAGCCCAAAGAGAAGCAATGGCAAGCCTCCTCTGAAAAACTCTTGCCAAGAAAACCACACAATAGGGTCACCTTAGGGTTCCCAAAAGTCAGAAACAACTTGAAGGCGCACAGCAACAACAGCAAATGGAAATGCTCAGCTAGGAGTGTCAGCTTGGTAACTAGTTACTTTTGCAGTAATGAGCTTTTGCAATAATATATTTTTATGGGTTTGTGGGTTAGTCTAGAGATCAGAAGAGTGAGAAGTGATGTGTTTTTACAGTAACAGGAGCTGTTAATGGGCAAGGCTCTTTTTCAATGAAATGAGAACAGGTTATCTGGCTGTTATCCATTACTATGTGCATATAACTGAGTAATGAGAGGAGGAATGAATCATATCTATGTCCGCCAAAAGCTGCTTTATAAATGTTTTCTGCAGTTATTGCTTTGCATGCATTTTTTTCAAAATTTTCAATGTGCAATATCTGAATTCGCCACTTGGGGGAGCCGAATAATATTTTCCTGCATTTTCCAATGGCACAATATTAACAGTAATGGTAACTTTATGGCACTGAGGTACCTTTCTGGACTGCAAGTAAAAGTGCCAACCTGTTGAGTGTGGAGAGTAATGCATAAAGTAATTAGTTCCCTTTAGAAAGCTCTGCTTTCTCCTCTGCCAGCAAAGATATGCAGTTACCTCCTCCGCCATAGACCTTAGCCGAGAAAGCCAGTCTTCTGCCTGCTCCAGGACCCTCTGCAGCTCAGAGTCTTCATGCTTCAACCTGAGGGCTGCCTGGACAATCTGGTTGAGGTTGGTGGTGCGGAAGTGATAGAGATAGTGGTCCAAATGGGTACTGGTTGACTTCTGGGTAATGTCCACCAGTGGCTGACTGGGAAGGGAATAGAGTAAAGAATGCAGAGGGTTAACTTCCACCAGTGTCGCAAAATTTGTGTTCTATGGGGTACATGTAGGGCTATGTACCTAGGGCCAGCATGGCATAGTGGTTTGAGAGCATTGGACTAGGCCATTGGGAGACCGGGGTTCAAATCTCAGCTTGGCCATGGAAGCCTACTGAGTGACCTTGGGCACATCACACTCTCTCAGCCTCAAAGGATGGCAATGGCAGCCTTGAGAGTAGGCCAGGCTGAGAGACATAGGGAAAGTATGACTGGCAGATGGTCATGCGGTGAACATGGGTCTCTCCAGTCCTAGTCCAACACTGACCACTGTTGGAAGCTGCAAAAATTAGGTCAACTGCATCCATACACACACAAATTAGGAAAAGTTTGCAAAAGCATTTGCATGATTTGTGTGTGTGTGTGTGTAGGAAGAAAACCCAGGATTTTGCAACCTTCTCACAAAAGAAGGATGGGAAAACAAGGAAAGCTGGATTTGGAAAGAGCCATCATGGTGCAGTGGTTTGAGTGTTGGACTATGACTCTGGAGACCAGGGTTCGAATCCCAGTTCAGCCAAGGAAACCCACTGGGTCACACTCTCTCAACCTGAGGGGAAGGCAGTGGCAAAGCCCTCTGCAGAAACCTGACAAGTTAACCCCGACAGATTTTCCTTAGGATCACCATACATCAGAAATGACTTTAAGGCACACAACAACAAGGACTCTTGGAGACCAGGGTTCGAATCCCCACTCAGCTATGGAAAACCACTGGATGACCATGGTCACATCACACGCTCTCTCAGCCTCAGAGGAAAACAACAGCAGGGAACCTCCTCTTAATAATATATCTTGCCAGGAAAATCCTGAGAGAAGTTTGCTATAAGTCAGAGTTGGTTTGAAGACACAGACAGAACAATTATGTTTCCCATCCTTATCAAGAGAAAACACCCCAGAAACATTTCCAACATGTACAGCTTCTGCAGAAAAGCTCAACGAACCGATGGGAGCCTTTTTTAAAACGACATGTTTTCAAAACAGATCTCTGAGCTCCCTCCACAGCCCAAAATGAAACTTTGCTCAAGTACTCTTTGAATCTTTGGAAAGGGCAACTTTCAGCTTTTCAGATTTGTGCCAGAGGGTCAATTCCCATGAACTGAAATAAAGGTCATCTGTTTAATCACCATTTTGCCAAGTGCAGCGGGGGGGGGGGGGGGGGACACGGCAGTAAAAAGTGTGGCTGATGGGTGATGTGGTCACAGTCCCCGTCCCCACTGCCCGCCACTAATGCTCAGCAATCGCTCCCTTTTTTTCTTCCTCCGCCGCTGCCCTGAGTCAGTTCGCTCCAGGAAAAACAAACACGGTGTTCCACATAAGCACAAAATAACCTTTCACTCCAGGAGTATTTTGAGATGCTGTGGGAGACAAGAGAAGGCTTATTTTTCCTTGAATGTACTGACTCACAGCCATCTCCCCCCATGTGTTTGTACTTTCTGCATTTTATTTCTTGTCCTTTTTCTGCTTTTCAGAAAATCACAGAATCTTAGACTTGGAAGAGACCCTCAAGGTTCATCCAATCCAACCCTCAGAGTCTCTACCTTGCAGAAAGACACCATCCAAGCATTCCCTGGGGCAGATGGCCACCCAGCTTCTGTTTAAAAACCTCCAAGGAAGGAGAGTCCACCACCCTCCAAGTCACCAGCATCTTCCACGCTCAGGCTTTGTTCCCACTTCGATTTAAAGCAAATTGCAGATCCGGTTATACGACCGTCGTTCCCACTTGAAACCGGTTCCGATCCTATTGAGCTCAGCTGCAATCGCGATGAAGCGAGGCGAACACAAAAAAGGATGTTTCCTGACCCTAGTTTTTTGGCAGTTCTTTTGAAAAGAATTGATTCCAAAGCGTGTTCAACAAGTGGGAACGATGGATCTGAATTGGATAATACTGAAGGGAAGGGACTAACGGCAGAGGGGGGGTTACCATCCTGACAGTTTTTGGGAGATCCTACATGTGAATTTCGTGCAGAATAAGCCATGAACTGCAAAGAGTCTCATCAGTCCAGGAGTCTTCTCAATAAACTTTCCCAAGACTCTGGGACCACATTTTTGTACCATTTATTTTGTACCCAAATATTCTTTCCATCCCTACACAGGGAACAGCCCCAGTCCATGATTGACCACTTGGAATAACTCTGGCCAAGAAAGCCCTAGGATAGCTTCACCAGAGTCAGGGCTGACTTGAAGGTCCATCTCAACAACAACAACAACACAGCACGACGTAGGATCCAGTTAATATTGTGAGAGTTACTCCCAGGTCTTTACACTCAGGATCATAGCCTGAATCATGCCACAATTTTCATCCCCATAAAAGCTCCCTTATATTCATGGTTCCTGTTGCAAACTTGATTTATTCAGCACAGAGGGGGTTTGCCAGAGGGGAGGAAGAGCAAAAGGGGAGGCTCAATTCACACACACAACCCTGAACCACCCTTTTGGCCACTTCTCCTATGGCCTTTCCTCCTCCACGCGCCATCCCCATCCCATTTAACTGCATTTTTCTTGGAGAGAGCCTTCGTTCCCTCTGGGAAACCAAAGTCCTGGAATTAATCCCAGGTCACGTCTGGCACACACGCCACAGCCAGGTCATATTTATGGCCTTGGGGAGTATGTGCGGGCCTTTTTCTAAACAAGCCTTTTGTTGTAAGTGGGAAGAGATGGGAAGGGGGAGGACTCGGGAGGACTAGTACCAGAGAAGTTGCAACCATGATAACAAACAACGCCGATGGCTCCTTCCAGTGGCATGGAAAGGAATCCCAGTGAGGATCATGGTTTAACACCCCTCTCGACTCTCTTCAACAAGCCTTTTCTGGGTCTAGCAGAGCTGCCGGCCAGGTGGCAAAGGGAGGCGACTGTCTTTACCACCCGGCCAGCAAAGCCACCAAATGCAGAAAGTACCCCTTCGAACCCACAGCCACTGGTGGGAGTGAGCTGCTCCTGCCATCCAGCAGCCTTTCCAGGTCTGGCGGAGTTGCTGGGTGAGAGGAGGAGGAGGAGGAGGAGACCCACTTTCCCAGCCAAGGGAGCCGCCAGACCCGGAAGGCAACCCCTTCCCACTAGCGCTCCAGATGACACCCCCTCGGAGATGCCACCTGGTGCTGTCCGCACCCCACCGCACCCCCTAGTGACCCCCTTGAGAGGCCCTCTTGGTTTCTAGAGGTCATTTCCAGTGGGGTTGATAGTGTAGATTCGAACACACCTCCAGCAGCTTCCAAGCCACCTGAGCCCACAGTTTTAAGCCCTTAGGAATCTGAGCTTAGGAAAGCCATTGCTTGGAACTACAGGCCCCAGAATCCCCAAGAAGTAGAGAAGAGAGACATCACAGGATGCCCTGTAGTAAATGGCCACCTTTCCAGCATCCTGAGACAGGTCTCTTTTGCCCTTTCTGGATTTCCTCAGACATTGCACAATTTCTGTTCTTTTTTAACCCCAGAATTTCCCCAGCCAACATGGCCAGGATGACTAGGGGATTGATGGAGTTGCAGTAGAAAATATGCTTGCCACATTGATCCCCTGTTTTAGCAAAAGTCAGGGTACAAACAGAGAAAAATATAATAATACTGAGGATAATTGTGACAACGGGCAATAACATCTGCAACCAAGCATAGGATCATGGAATGCTAAAGATGGAAGAGGTCCCTTGGGCCGCCAGTTCCAGCTTCTTGCTCAATGCAGGACCTCCAGATAAAGTATCCCCAGCAAAGAGCTGTCCAGCCTCTTTTGGATGGCTTCATAAAAATTACAGAATCATAGATTAAAAGCAGCATCTTCCACTGTCGAACAGCTCTTGCTATCAGGAAGTGCTTCCTAATGTTGAGATGGAATCTCTTTTCCTCTGACTTCAATCTATTGCTCCAACCCTAGTCTTTGGAGCAGCAGAAAACAAGCTTGCTCCATCCTCAGTATGGCAGCCCTTCTGCTCCTTCTCAACCTTCTCTTCCCCAGCTCCCATGGTTTCCAGACCTTTCACCATTTGAGCAATGGCAGGAGTCAGGAAACACACACATCCTTCATGGAACGATGGTAGGCTGCACACAAAACTATATTTTGAAAGTTTGCAAATAAAAATTGGGCCCAAAATGGCCCCTTGCCTCCTTTCAAGCTCATGAGAAGCCTTTGTTTTTGGAATGAAGAAGTCAACAAGAAGTTCGTTGGAAGGAGGAAAAAAATGCAGCAAAATTGCCCTGGGGTTGTGGCAAGCCCATTTTTCCCCCAAATTTGAGGATATTTGATGCCTCACCTGGACAAAGGGACACAGTTTCCCCGCTCCTCCTATAGGGACGAAGTATCCTGTCTCAAAATTTCAGATTTTCCTTTTTCTAGCAGGGGAAATAATTGCAAGGAGAGAGCAAGATGTTCCCAGCAACTTTTAACCCTTGGCGAAGGGTGAACGATGACTAACCATAAGACCTGAGATGATGGACTGGAGGCCCTTCCAGCTCCCAAACTGGGAGGAGATCCCTTCTGAGAGGTGGGGGCAGTTGAGGGGGGGGAACGGCTCACCCCAAAATACAATGAGGCCCATTCAGTTGAGGCGAGGGCAGAGGGGAGGCCCTCCCGAGTGGAAATTTATGACCTGCTTCAAATATCACCTTTTCAACTCCGTGCCTTGGCTCAACAGCCTTGGCGGCGGGCTCTTGCCAATGGAGGGCATTCTTCAAGGCTGGAGCCCCATCCAAGGCAAACAAACAGCCTTGTCATAAACCCACAGAAAGACTTTGTGGGTCCCGACAAACCACCGCCGCCGCACACGAGATTACCTGCAGTCCGCAATGACTTCATCCATCAATTGGGCCACCAGGGTGTCCAGGTCGCCCGCTGAGCACTTGGCTTTCAGGGCCAGGTGGACCAGCTCCAGGTTGGCTTCCTACAGAACACAAAAACACAGCCATCAGTGCCTTTCCTTACACACAAACAACAACAACCATAGCCCCGTCCACATCATCCAGCACTGCTCCTGGGTTGTGCATACTAGGGCTGTTGTTATTATTATTATTATCATATTAACTTCTTATGTCCCATCTTTCTCCCAATATAAGGACTCAAGGCGACAAGCAGCAAGTTTAAAACAGTACAATTTTAAAACAATACAAAAGCATTAAAATGCTTCTATGTTGAAGTTGTTGTGTGCCTTCAAATTGTTTCCGGCTTACAGTGACCCTATCATGGCAAGTTTCTTCAGAGGGGGTTGGCCATTGCGTCCTCTAAGGCCGAGAGAGTATGACTTGCCCAAGGTCACCCCAAAGGGTTTACGTGGCCGAGCCAGGATTCAAACCCTGGTCTCCAGAGTCATAGTCCGACGCTCAAACCACTACACCACACTGGCTAGATATGTAAAATTTTTTAAAAGAATTAAACATTTTTAAAAGTTAAAATTAGAATAATAGAATCGTAGAGTGGGAAGAGACCCAAGGGCCATCCAGTCCAACCCCATTCTGCCATACAGGAACTCAAAATCAAAGATGTTTAAATTACTTGTGCCTTGTCCCAAAAGTGGGTTTCCCAACCCTGGAGAAACCCAAT